ATTGTAAAAAAAAAAAGGTGAAGAAACTGGACCTGCTGGAAGTCTGAAATGATCCAAGTAAAACATTTGTTGCCAAGATGCTTGTTTGTACGCAGCAAGTACATTAGTATTTCTTCCAGAAACAGTGCCAAAGCCTTTGTACCTCCAAAGAATTCTGGCTAGTGGTTCCAGATGCCGTGCCTTAATTAAGGTGAATGAGTACAGATGGATTTAGTATTTGCTGGGGAATTCTGTTTAAACCTGAAAATGGTCTTGACAAATTTTGAATCACATTTGATCTTGTCCTTCGTGGAACATTTCATTTGGTTGGATCCCACCAGCTTTTTTCTGCTAGTGCAAAGAGGCGTGACCTTCTGTGATTTCCCTCCTCATTGCAGCCCTATTCTCCATGGCTCTTTGCCCACTGGGGTCCCACAATCCCTTGCTTAGCCTTTTCAGGGATCAGAAAGGGGCTCCTCCTTCTCCTTGCACCAGCCAAAAAGCTAGCAGGGACCAACCCCATCAATGGATGTCTTTGGATTATTTCGTATACGTGACTTCCACAAGGGAAAACAGCTCTAGCCAGAGTAATGATTTAGTCAACAATACAAAAAGGACAACACATACAAACTGAAAAAGGAGTGCCTGTTTTTAAAAGGGGCTTAAAAATAAATAAATCCATTGAGGTTAATCACTATCTGGAGGTAAATATTATTAGCGATTGTGCCTTTATGTTAACATTATAACCCAAAGCTAAAGAAAGTCTAAAGTCGTCAAAATCTGGCCTTTGCCTCAAAGCAAGATTCCCTATGAAGTAGCCCCCCCCAACTGACTGATCATCAAGACTCTTGTGCCTCAGAGAGCACAAGGGGAGAGCAGCCACTCTCTCCAGACACTTGCAGAGCAAATAGTTTCAGTGCAACCAAGGATGTCAATGTCATACAAATTGTCTCTACCATCACTTGTGTTTCATAGCTAGATGGGGAAAAAACAAGGATAAAGACAACAGGTCACAGGAGAATTAATATCTAACAGCAAACTAGAATTGTTGAGGAGCACCTGTGCAAAGCCTGGGGTGTAATACTGTATTTATTATGCAGATAAGCATTTACTTTTCAGAACAGTACTGTTAGTGCTTTGGGTAGAGCTGTAGTAGTATCAAGCAGAGGTCTGTCTCAGTGCAATTACTTCCACAACAGAGAGACAAAACAGTTAAAGGGAAGAAAAAGATTGGCGTGTTACATAATAGCTTTAAAAAGAACACTTTCATTTATGTCAAGTACAAATGATTCTCAAAACAGCTCTTCTGTGGATACTTAAATCCAGAGACTGGAGCCATGCTACAGACAAGACAGCTCTTTCTATAAACTTGAAAAGGGCTGCTGGTTTGCATAAAAATCTGAAATCTTAAAAAAATAATTGGAGGTTAAGCCCTTCCGTAATAACAGAAGCAGCACCTGCACCTTTCAGAAATGGATGCTCTCTGAGATCTCAGTGGCCATTGTGGGGGTTGCTAGGCCACAATAATATTGCCAGTCTTCAAAGCTTGGTTTCTATCAGTAAAAGCCAGTGGGAGGGCCCTTTCCAGGACTATTTGGCCTCCCAGTCCAACCCTGCTCCTCACCCTTCAACCCTGGAAGGTCCCATTGGGTCAGGGCCTGCAGCAACCACTGGGCAACTTGCTATCATGTAATTCAGAGGTGCCAAACTCATTTGTTATGAGGGCCAGATCTGACAAAAATGTCACTTTGTTGGGCTGAGCCATGTTTGTTGTTCAGCCGCACAGTCGAGTCCGACTCTGAGCCATCTGTGCCATAAAATGTAATGCCAGGTACCGGAGATACAAACTTTATAAAGGACACAGGCAAAACCAATCAACAATATTATTTTTTACTCAAAATACAAACATGCTTAAAACATTCTTACAGTATTTCCTTACAGAATCTCCCCGATGCCCACCCTCCCACTTTCACTGCCCATTATGCATTCACACTGGGACAGTATACAGGGACATAATGCACAGCCTCTGTCATCTGGAAATAAAGGCAATGACCAGTTGCTTCCGGGCCAGATAAGAGCCCTGAATGGGCCGTATGTTTGACACCCCTGATGTAATTCATCCTGATGTGGCAGTGGTTACTGGGCAAATCACCGGGGCCCAGCGGAAGCCTCCACACAATTTCTGTGACTTTGCCAGGCCCAGCAAGTTCTACCACACAACTCAGCTGAGTGACTTGCTACCACATGACTTTTGCAACTGGGCCAGACTTTTCCTAAGGAGAAGCTGCCAGGGAGGGGAAACAAGGAGAAGCTGGGAAGCCAGTGTGGTGTTAGGGTTATAGTATCAGACAAGGATCTGGGAGATTGAGGTTCAAACTGCCCTGGAAGCTTGTTGGATGACCTTGGGACAGTCGCTTTCTCCATGCCTAACCTACCTCACAAGGTTGTTAGGATAAAATGGAGAATGATGTAAGCTGTTTGGTTCCACTTTGGGCAAAGAGATGTGACACAGGAAAAAAAGAAATATCAAATAAAGCTGAGGGTGCAGCAGATAAAAGAAAGGTGGCTTGGTGTACGGGAAGGAGAGAAAAAAGCAGGTAAAGGGGAGAGGATATGGGTGCTACCAGGAGGACAGAAAGAGAAAACAGCACGGGGAAAGAGAAGAGGAAAATGAAGTAACCTCTGCGAGTCCTTGCGGGTTTCCTGTGTTTGTATAAAGTATGCAGCAACATTGTTAACTTTAACTCCTTTATTCTTTCAGTATACTGCTAACAGATCCTTTTAGCCCCTAATATAAATATCTGACGATGACATGGCATGAGTACTTTAATCCAAATGATGACATTTGCAGTATTAATTCCATCAAGGTCCAGTTGTAGAGGATAGAAGAAAAAGCAAATTCACTTTGGAATGACAGAGTGACCCATCCAGTTTTTCTGCTCAGTGCTGCCATTCATTCAGTATACCTGGTGCAGAGCTCCAGGGAAGATCCCACTGAAATGAATGGTTATTACACAGTAGTAATAGTGCACAACAGACTGCTCCCAATTAGTTATGTCACACACGTCCCTTATTACCAATTACCATTTTTTAACTCTTTGTTATTGACAACTGAACTATGGACTGCAGAACCTTAAACTCATTGACTTTGTGAAACTAGCTTGTAAGCACACAATAAAACAAGGGGAAGCTCCTGCCGTGCTTTTATTGCTTTTTAAGCCGCAATCCATATCCCCACCCCATCAGGATAGTTCCACGCTGCTGGTTAATTTGTATGTAGAAGTAAAATAACAGCTAAAATAGGCCCTGCGGAAAGATACCACTGGTGCAATTATTGTTTGGCATGGTAGATTTCCAAAGCTGCTTCTGAGAAAACAAAATAAGCTTGGGTCCAAGAGTACTTGTCAGTACTTTAATATTAAACAAACATTGGATCAGTTGTAATAACAATGTAACAATGGTGTCACCTCCATCTTTTTAAAAGGCCAGCTTAAACCCAAGCCTCTTATTTTCTCTAGTTTATTTTTGCATTTTTGTTACAATGCCTTTGATGCTGCTTTCAAAAATCACACTGTTCTAAGCTCCAAGATTTCGGCCTCCCCTCTCAATAGATAATTGCTGTACATCTAGCATCTCCTCCAAAAACCAACAGACAGCTATACCTGCCAGGCTCCAATGCTGGACACAACTCTTTCATTTAAAAAAATATATTTCATAATGCAACTCTTTCATAAGCAGCTGCCTGCCTTTCCAGCGAACCTACAATGGCATGCCCCCAAATCTACCAGGACACAACCAGCAAAGCTCTTTTGAAAGTGGCATCAGATACCTGTGTCACAGTGTGAGACTACTGCAGGAGTCCCCGACCTTTTTGAGCCCGTGAGCACAATTGCATTTCAGCAATTCTGACACAAGATGGTGGGCGCAGCCACAAAATGGCTGCTGCAGGAAGCACAGCCAGCTACAAAATGGCTGCTGTAGCTTACCTTGAGACGCATGGTGAAGATCCTGGTGCAGTGTTGGGAGATGCTGCCAAAAGTAACATTTTCAAATATCTGCACAGCCAGTCAAATCTCCAATGGCCAATCAGAGGCCCTGCTGGGCAAAAGCCCCCCCCCACTTTCTAAATTCACTTGGCAAGCACAAAGACAGGTATTGGCGGGTGCCATAGCACCCCATAGACACCATGCCGGGGACCCAAATCTACTTTCCTTCTCTCCCACTTCCCTCTTATTAAGATGCAAAGGTGAAAAGAAACAAGTTTCTTGTATATCGCCTAATATAGCTCATTTAAACAAAACATTATGAGAGTCCTACACCAGGTGGATACAAATAACCATTTTACCACACCTTTTGGCCCACACTATTAAAGAATAAGTAATAAAGACCTACTTAGCCAATACCAGCGTTGTACAGGAACAAGCTATTCTGGTCATTCACAGATTAATTAGATATTCTGCATGGGTTTAGTATTAAGTAATGCAGCAATATAAGGGTGAGTGCGAAGCAGGACAAACCACCTCCAGAAGCAGTGTAGGATTATAGAAAGCCTACAGCCTTGAAGGTCAAAACTGACAAAAAGGGACATGAGGGTCAGCAATGCAAAAGACAGTAAGGTCCCACCTTACCAACTGTCACCATAGGAAGCATACTCAGGTAAAACAAAAAGCAGAATGTACCTACTTTTAAAGTGAATGACTGCGCAGGGGACAGGGTCAGAAGTTCCACTGGGATTCTAAAGCCTTGGATGGACTGCAGACAAAAGTGAATGCTCAGTTATACTGGTAGTACTGTTCATGCCTCTTGCTTCAAGCTCTGAACAGCACTGCTTGATAAAATGGCTTAATGGAAAGTGTTTAATTTTTGCAACGAACTTTACCAACATAAGCCACAGACTTTCCTAAGCAAAGTATACAAAACGTAGGAGGCCATATGTTAAACACTGGACTGGCCATTATCTCCTATATCTCCATCAACATATTGAAAACTTTCATCCAGCCTCTGAAATAAAACCTCTACTGAATTGCAATGGCAGAAGTGATGCAATTTGACCAGAGTGATAAAAGCTAATCTGGATGGAGACACATACCCATTGTTTTTACTTTTCCCATGCAAGCTTAAACTAGCTGGGTTACAAAATGAGCTGTTACAGTTGCAATCCTGTAATAATCTCATTGAGAAAAAACACTTCTACACTTCCTATGATTCCAATGAAGCACTAAGGTGGCGTGCACAACAGACTGTGTGGACAGACTGGGCTTTCTTCTCTTGCTTTGGTACAGCAGTCCCTTCCACTGCTCTTCCCCAGGAATTTTTTCTTTTTAACCACAGGAAAATGTAAAGTGATCAGTGATTGTTCAGTGACTCAAACAACCAAAATCAAGACCACATCCCTTTTGCTTTGTCCGTATTAAACTACAGCACAGAATAGTGTAACAAAGACTGTTTACTCTCTAACAGAAATACAGGTTTCTTCCATGTGAAGGGCAGCACCATTTACCCTTTGAGCTATAAACTGTAAACATTTATTTCCATGAGCATACAATTGTTTACTTCCTTCCTTTTAAAAATGTTCAGCATTGGTATAAAATTCAACATTTATTTGAGGCTTATCATGGGAGAATCAGTACCCATTCTTTACTATAAATATGTAAGAGCAGGATAGTTTCACTCATTCTAACACCGCCATTTAAATCAACCTTTAATAATAAACAGCACAGAGAAATCTCTCTCTTAAAGTTCCTTGATCTTGCTATAGTGTGAAGTGTAATTTACAACACTGAACGATCTACCCCATCCCCCAGTACATTGTTCACATGCCCCCCAACCATTCTATTAGTATGCCTCTGATCTGGTAGATGATAACAGCTAGAAATAGTGTACAGACAACCTTTGTTAATTTCTCCGTATGGATCCAGTTTTGATGGCCATCAACTGAGCAGACCTAAGAATACCTGGCTGGGAACCCCATTGCTGTTGTATTTACAATATACTAATCTGAAGACAGGTTTTGATAATTTTTGGAGGTGGGTATAAGCATTAAATAATGGTCTGACTTCAGTTTATAGATAACTGGCCCTTTCTAGTCAATCAAAATAATTATAGCAGAAACAGAAGCAGCGACAGTACATATTCCAAGTCTGCCAAAGGGTTGCATATGCATCAGTTTTTCTCTCTGCTGCCCCTCCAATCTTATTCTTTCTTTTTTATAAATGAAACTTTTCCTTTGGTTTCCTGTATCTTTTCTGTTATTCTTTCCTTTGTTTCTTCCATCTTCCCAGTTAGCCTCTCCTTTGTTTCTTCCATTTTCCCAGTTAGCATCTCCTTTGTTTCTTCCATTTTTTCACTTATCATGTCTCTGGTTTCCTCCATTTTTCCCGAGAGACGCTCTTTTGTTTCTTCCATTCGGTCCTGAATGTATTCCTTGACTGGAGGTGGTGTGGATATGTATCCATGCTTACGGAGATACTTCACGGTGATGGATGTTCCACCTAGAGTCACGGCATATCTGGCTGGAGTTGCAAGCTTGTCAACAGGAAGAAAGAAAGAAAGCATACACCTGTTAACACCCTCAAAACCAACACCGACTACTTAAGGATTCAGGAAAAAAAGCATTTCATCTACTTTAACCACTATCACATAAGTAGAACAAAAAGTTTGAAACAGGGGTGGATTGGAAGTTAAAATGCCCCTGGAGTAAGCCACAGTGAGCAGCCCCTGTGGCTGCCACAAGCCAGAGCCTTTTCCCCAAGGACCTGACTCTGGCCTAAATAACAACCCAAAGAATCAAGACCGTGAGCAGTGGGCCAGCCCCAGCCATTTCTTCCTTGTCTTAAGTGCTGAACAGGAAGATTTCTCCCCCTTACACCATCATATAAAGTGCTCAGCCATCTACCTTCCTATCTAAACTCTCAATCTCCCTAAAGGAACACTTCTCCTTTTACCTGTAATGCAAAAGAAGAAAAACTGCCCTCCACAATCTACACAAAAATCCCCTTTTCAAATCAGTTCATCTCCGTAGAGATGGACTTTCATCACTCCCACATTCCAGTGCTGACACCTTTTTCCCCTCCTCAATCTTAGCAAAAACGTATAAAAAGTCATCCCTCAGTCCATCAAATTTGTAGCAGGTTTTGGATCCCAGCCTGTTACCCCTACTGTATGGCTGGCTCCTCTACTTCCCCATTCTGCTACACTTCTCCAGAGCTACCCAGCCATCTTCAAGAAGCAGGCTTCTGTGTCTTTAATTCTCCCCTTCTATTTTCTCCCTTAGTAGCAGGTAGTTTGTTAGGGGAAAAGTTTAAACTGTGTTTGTACTTCACATGTGCATTTATTTCCTTTCTGTAATGCCTCTATTTTTATTTACCTGACTTAATATGGTTCTCTTTCTGTTACTTCAATAAATTCATTTTCTTGTTTAAGAAGCTTATTCCCCTTGATTTCATTTGAGTGTTGGTCTGTATCTTGACCCCCATATACACAGATTAAGGTCTTGACAATTAATACCCCACAAACACACATGTCCTCTCTTTGGTAGCAGAAGGACACTTTTGCTGACTACAGGGGCTGCACATGTATTGGTGACTTGGATAACATCTGTTAGGGGAAGGCTGACTGAGCGGGTTGTGTGACCACACAAATGACCACTCAAAGAACATGAGTTACATGCAAGCAACCTGTTTGTCTTCTTCATGGTCTCTGCACATCACACACACGGGATAGATTAGCAAGCTTCAGACCGGAGATGGGAACAGGTCAAGTTATGCTATGGAAACTATTAACAACAAAGCACAAACCATAATTTATCCAATTTATGAAAATAAGGAGTTTAAAACAGCTTTTCCAAATGCTGCCTCTCTCTCGTCACTCTAACATCCAGTTCATGATGTCTTATGAATGCTGAAGAACAAGTCCATGTTGTTGCCTTACGGAGATCTGGTACTGAGACTCTCCTCAAAAAAGTGTTCGATGTTGCAGTTGCCTGTGTTGAATTAGCTCTGATAATTTGTGGCAGTGGCTTTTTTGCTATGGTGTAACACAATAATACCAGTTCTACAATCCACTTACTCAAACATCGAGATGAAATTTTTAAATCCTTTCTATGACTCCCATAGCAGACAAAAAGATGTGGATCCTTAAGGAAAGACAGGGTTCTATCAATACAAAAAACTAATGCCCTTTTAACATATAAACTGCATTTGTTGCTGGTTTTGGGGGGAAAACACAGGGGTACTATATCCTGCAGCATGTGGAATTGTGACACTACTTTAGGTAAATATGATAGGTCTGGTCTCACTTTATCTGCATGAAAAACTATGTAAGGAACATCAGCTTGCAGTACACAGAACTCTCTTGCCCTTTTTGCTGAAGTTATTGCAATTAAAAATGACAGAAACTTTATGTTTCAAGTTGCCAAAGGCTCTATCATGATCTGGGCTGTGCCACCAGAGGCCTACTAGGCCCAGGGAGCCTGGCTAGCAGTAGGTGAAGCTGGGCCTACAACTCCCAGAAGCCCCTGAGAGGTTTTGGAGCCAAAATTGACAAATAGGAAAAGAGGAGGGCTTGGAATAAGAGATCTGGAGCAGCAGGAAAAGCTGTTCTTCTTCTTAGGAGCCAGAGCCAGAGCCAGAAGGGACTGAGGCTGCTGTGGGGGAGAGACCCTCATCCCGAGGGAAGGGTGAGTAGTCTAGTGCCACTTGGAATAGTGAGCTAGGGACAGTATATATTTAGATGCATTAGGGCATTTGATTTCTTTTCTTTTCAACCACTTATCTTGTTCTTTTCAACCACTTTCTGTACCTTGTTGGTTTGACCTCTTATACAATAAACTATTTTCTTTCTTTTTTTTAAGCCCCCGGAGGGGATTTTTTATTGCATTTTTTTAACACTACAAACTACAACAGAAAATAAGGAAGGGAACTACATTTAAGGGATAAAGAAAGATACCCACTACTGACTAAAAACTCAAGAGAGGAGATCATCTCACCAGTTTAGACAAACATTTAGTCTTAATCTCCTTAATCGTACTATCAACTGAGTCAAATTTAGCATTAACTTTTCTACAATCTTAAGTTTAAAGTTTAACTGTCATACATAAATACCCCAGAGCATCTCATTTCAACATTTTATAAAGGCACAATTCAGAGTCCTTCAGCCTTTACTCCTCCTTGCCTAATCTCTTCCGAAGCTTATAAGGACTTTTAGGGGCTGCCGCCCCTCTCTCTGAAAGAGAGTCCTCTCTGGAGGATTCCGAGTCCAGCTTGCCATCGGACTTACTGTCCATCCATTTTTTCCCTTCGTCCCCTGGCTCACCCAACTGGACTCTTAAAAATTCCCGTGCTTTCTGAACAGAGTCAATCTTTTCTTTTTAGTCCTTGATTTTGAAAGTTACGCCTTCTGGAGTTAACCACCTATATCCAATTGCATTTGTCTGTAGAAAGAGAGTTAATTCTTTATATTTCTTTCTCCTTTGTCTTATCTCAAATGGAATATCTTTCAATGTTCTGATGGTATTCTCCCCCACTTTCAGGGGTGCTCCAGATACTGCTTTCAGGATTGCATCTCTCACATGCCTCTTCGAGAATCTTACCACAATTTCCCCAGGCAGATTATTTTTCTTTATATATGCTGAATATGACCTGTAGGCCACATCCATATCGTTTAACAAAGATTCCGCCTTCATATCTGTCACTGGGGCCAATGTTTCACTCATTAGTTCCTTAAGATTCTCTACCTTAGTCTCTGGCATGCCCTGGAAGCGAAGAATCGTATTAGCCTTTTCCATTTGTAGTTGTAACAGCTGATCTTCCGTAGAAACTTGCTTCTTTTCCAGTTTTTAAACTTTCTTTTTCAGCTTTTGTGCAGTGGCGTCCACTTCTTCCACCTTCTCAGCTGTTTCATTCATAATTTTAAGAGTCTCGTTTATCTGTGTTTGCTGGGTGGTGATACACTGAGTCATTGTTGACATCTGCTCCTTAATGTTATACATCTGGTCCAGTAGGGGGCGCATGGATTCTGCAAAAGTCTTTGCCAGCTCGTTGGTTCCTTCCGGTTTGGGACTCTCCGTTAGTTTCGATTTCAGAAGCTTCTCTTTCTCTGTCCTCTTCCCCGCCATCATTATTGATTGTTTACTTTGACAATTATTTTAAAAGTCTCTGAATATGCGCCCAAACGCTCGAACTCACCTTGGTGAGTATTTCTTAACAGTTTTGCACGCTTTCTCTTCTGCTCCCCCCCCTCAATTCGCTCAGACGTTCATGCAGTTGGGAGGCGTCTCTCCCCCGCCCATCTCACTTTCCGTTTTACAGAATGGGGTAGGGATCATTCTTTTCTCTTTAATCGCTGCTTACATTAGACTCATGTTCATAGTTGGTCCTCAGACCTCTTTTGATTATCATTTCTGCCGCTCGACCTCCTGCGCTTGCCCCGGTCGGCGTCACTTGTGTCCATTCGGCCTCGTGGCACAAAGAACCTTCGGGACGGAGAGGCGCCTCAATTTCCCGGCATTGCGCCAGCGAAGAGGCGACCTCTCAAAAGTCCCCTGGCCAGGGCCCCTTCAGCCAGGTCCCTGGGGGGGGGGGGTGGCGAGCCTGCGCACCCCCTCCTTCGGCTGGAGTGCAGCTTCACCCCTGGGAGGTGAGTCTGCTAACACACCGCCATAAACCGGAAGTCCACAATAAACTATTTTCATTGTTCACTCTGCCTGGTCCTCACGCCTATTATTCGGCCAAAAGGGAGGTCAGAAGGTCTTGGGAGGGTGCTCTGGCCCTTCTCAAGGGATCCTAAATCCAGAGTGGTGGCAGCGTCAGATGACACCCCACCTGAGCCATGACAGGCTCAAATGGAGGTTTCATTAATACTGATAACATTAACTGTAAATTCCAATAGGAAACCAGAATTGGAATGGGGGGGGGGAGTTCTCACTAAACCTTTAAAAACCTGTTTCATCAACAGATGAGGGGAAAACATTGTGACCATCCACCTTAAAATGATGTGATGAGATGGCCGCTAAGCAGACCTGCAGTGAGGAAATGCCTAAACCTTCAGTTTGTAAGTTTAGGATGAACTCACGTAAGTCCATTGTGGAGCAGGTCACCAGATCCAAAATGTGACCATTTTTATATGCTACAAAACACATCAATTTAGCATCATACAATTTCTTGCTCAATGGTTTTCTTGCATTATCCAGCATCTTCCACACCTCATCTGGCCAAAAACCTAACAGATTCTCCATGTTGTCAGATGTAGTTTGGCCACCTCTAGGTGCAATACTTTACCTCCCTAAGATAGTAAACTCGTTTCTCAGAAGAGGCAGATACCAGCCCGCCATGTGTAGTAAGAGTCAGAAACCACACCTGTCGGCCAGAACGGTACAATTAGAATCCAATTGGTCTCTTATTTTGTGAAGAACTTTCAATGCTGAGAGGAGATGAAAGCATGTAAACAATTCTCTTGTCCACTTCACTGTGAATGCATCCACTTTTGAACCTTTCTCCTCTCCCCATACTGGGCATTTGTAACTCGGC